TTAAATACATTGTGCATTTAATATAGATCAATATGGCCCTTTACAGCATGTAATTTAAATGAATATTTTCGAAGATATTACAGACTTAAAATGCAGGGACATAGCGGTTGCGGCGGTACCGGCCGGTTTGTATTGTCTAATGACAAAAAAGCTGTGATTGTTGTATATAAAGACATTCTATAGTATATTTACTATCAGCATTGCACCCGTGCGAAGCATAGTGTACAAATAATACCACTAAACCAATTCCTTACCCCTATCCCGGTATGTTTGAAAAAGTTTCATATCAGTAGCGTGTTGTATAATTACACGTTGCATTTTTTTTTTAAATAGATTCTTTTGTTTCTTGACAATTTTCTTTATTAGTTTTGTTAAATCGGACATAATAAGTAGGGGTTAATAACGAATTACAAAATTTAAATGCACTTGCCTGTTTCTAAAGCATTTTCTCGATTATCGTTGACAGAAGGTTGCTTAATATTCCATTTTGTCAGTGGAAGGTTTTCCCAATCATCCATGGAATGAAGTCTTACCATTTCCATAATTTTACCATGATATCTAACACGTACAATTGCAACATATACATAAAGCTTACAAAATAATTACGCAATATATACGTTTACCGTGGTACGAAACATTTTTTTTCCGTTTCAAATATGTTTCTGATTATTGGTTCCGTATCAATTTCGTTGTCGGTGCTCAAATAAATCGAAATTCGATTACTATCTTTGTACTCTTTCAATTCCAAAATCTATAAATGAATATTAATATTATCGAAAAGGCAGGTACTCTTCACATCTTATGAAAATTCAGAAATTGAAACTTTTTTAGACCTATGTTCTGGGTACTTTTCAGGGCTTAAGTTGTATATGAAAACCGTTTTGAGTATTGATGGTCGATTATAAGAAATCTACCTAAATAGGTAGGTATACCTTGGATTAAAGTGGCGGTTAATTTGATATTAAAATAAAATGGTTTTTTTGGNTAATTTTAGAGGTTTCTAATGTGATGTCGTAAATAAACACCTTTTTTGCGCTTACATTGCAAACGCTGGCTGAATCCTACGAGATAGATCAAAATAATGTACTACAATATAATACATCTTAAAAGGGTTTACAAAAAAGTCCGGAATGGTATATGTCTATCTCTTAGGGATAACCCACAATAACCATTTTTATCCTTTACTTTTTATGAGAAATGACTTATTTACGAAGCGATTGTAGGTAATACAGCACTAATTCTTATCCAATTAAGTACCTTAAATACATTGTGCATTTAATATAGATCAATATGGTCCTTTACAGCATGTAATTTAAATGCATATTTTCGAAAATATTATAGATTTAAAATGCAGGGATATAGCGGTTGCGGCGGTACCGGCCGGTAGGCCGGTTTGTATTGTCTAATG